AGTAGTGTTCCAATCATGGTCCAGGAGTTGCGGAAATCGCTTCCTGGGGTGTTCAAGGCATTGCCCAGAGCCATTCCACAGCAGCCATCACAATGCGTTCGAACGCATCAAGCCGATTCGTGGTTTGGAAACCGCAAAGTTTGTTCTTCCTTCAAGCTCAAAGCTCTCCTTCTAAAGCTCGGATAAGTATGATAATCATCAATGGTACCCCCCGCATGCTTAACCGTCGGAAGCAACTATCGACCTCCCCACGGCTTTATCCGTCGCGCCCAGTTAATCCCGGGGGGGAACCGCGGAGCGATATCGTTTAGCACCACGACATTGATATTTGAGCTCACGAAAGTGGCGACAGTCTCACACAGGTTCCCCCCTCCCAGGGGCCCACGGAAGAGGCAGAGGGCAGGAGAGAGCAAGTAAAGGGCAGGAGAGAGGAGGCAATGGGGGTAGAACGGGAGACGCGACCACAGTGTTCGATCAAAACTAGAACTCAACACGGGATTGTTGGGAAAAATCTAACTTGACATTAGACGGGCCCCCCTGTTGTGCACCACCCACTGCTACACAAGGCCCCTCCCCAACTTGATTCAAAAAAGGACCTTGGGTACTAGACGTGCTTTCCTGCTGTGCATAGCCCGCTGTTCGACGAGGCCCCTCCCCAAGCTGACTGAAAAAAAGCAGTGTTGGTACTAGAAAGGCCCCTCTGCCGTGCGCAGCCCTCTCTAGACGAGATCCCCTCCCCGAGCTGATTTAAAAAGCATCCCTGGTGCTAGACGCACCCCTCTGCCGTGCGCAAGCAGCTGCTGGACGAGGCCCCTCCTCAAGTTGTTGAAAAGAGTCTCCTTGGTACTAGATGTGCCCTTCTGCCGTGCCCCGCCCGTTGCTAGACGAGGCCCCTCCCCAAGCTGATTGAAAAAAACTCCTTGGTGCTAGACGTGACCCTCTGCTGTGCACCGTTTCGTGCTCGGCGGGCCCCTGTGGCGTGCACCGCCCAGTGCTAGACGAGGCCCCTCCCCCAAGTTGATTCAGGCAGCATCCTTGGCACTAGACGTGCCCCTCTGCTGAGCATCACCCGCTGCTCGACAAGGCCCCTCGCCAAGCTAGTTATAAAAGCATTATTGGTACTAGACGCGCCCCTTTGCCTTGCACCACCCTCTGCTAGACGAAGCCCCTCCCCAAGCTGATGCAAACAACGTCCTTAGGACTAGACGTGGACCTGTGCCATGCGCCGCCTGCTGCTAGACGAGGCCCTTCCCCAAGCCGAATTAGAGAAATCATCGGTACTAGACGTGCCCTTCTGCTCCGCGCCACTCGCTGCTAGACGCGACTCCTCCCCAAGCTGATTTCTGAAAAAAAGCATCCTTGGCACTAGGTGTACCCCGTGCACCGCTGGCTGCTAGAAGAGGCCCCTCCCCAGGTTGAGTAAAAGACCTTCCTTGGTACTCGACGTTCCCCTCTGCCGTGCGCCACCCGCTGCTAGATGAGGCCCATTCCCAAGCGTCCCCGAGGCGTTCGGAGGCTCTCATAGGCATCGAAGTTTTCGATGGGTCCGATGAGGAAAATGTTCCAGCTCCGAGGGGGGAGCTTTTCAAAAATCTCGAAAACCCAGAGAAAACTTCCTGGAGGGCCATTTTGGGGTGAGGAGTCTGGGGGCGAAACCTTCGAAACCGTGCCACATCTCCTTGAGATGGGGTTTGGGGGTTTGGGAGAGGTCCGGAGGGGGAAGGGAAACCTCTGGGCGGGGAAACCCAGTGATTCAGGGAAGTTTCCCCGCCCAGGGAAGTTTTAGTGAACCTTCCAAAACCCTTTTTAGGGTGATTTTGGGGAGGGTGTGATGGAGGGAAAACCAAAAAAACATCTTGAGGTTGGTTTGTGGGGGGTCCTGGGGAAGCCCCATGGTACCGCTTTTCCTCCCCCTCGCGCTCTGGGGGGCCGCTGCCCTCGGGCGCCCCCCTCAGCCCCACCACCGAGGCCGCATCGCCCGGCCCTGCGGTCGCCCCGGCCCCGTCTTTCCGATTGGCCATGCGCGCCGGGCCCTTGTCTCGAGTCCGCTCCTGGCTCTCCCTGCGGACGCGTCTGCCTCCGCCTTCGGCTGTGTCACGCACCTGGCGGGCTCGGCTTTGCCCCCCCCCCCGCGCTGCCACCGCAGCCTCTTCCCGCGCTGCCAGCTGCCGCAGCTTCAACTGGCCTCCTCGCCTGCGCCTGGGGCCCACCGCGCTCCTCCCGCCCCTCCAGCCTTGGCCATCTCCGGCCCGTGCACCGCGGTCGCTGCCCCAACCCCTGGATGAGGTCGCGACGCCGCCCCGCCCCCGCCGCCAAGGGTGCAGCACTGGCTCGGCCGCCCCAGGCGCCCTGGGGCGGTCCCCGCCGCGTGAGCGCGCTCCTCTGCCCGCCTCGCTCATCCGCGGCCGCCCTCTTCTTTTTCTCACTGGTACAGCCGAGCTGATTAGCTTCGCCGTCTCCCGGCTTCCCGAGCGCACGTGCGGACTGACTCTGCCGCGCCGCGACTTAAAAAGTGTTTCTGGGGGAGGGGGTCGATAACAACATTGTTTTTAGCTGTGGGGCCCTGCACCACAAAAAGAACAGGCTCCCCCCCTGGGCCTTGGGAAGGAAAACAACAGCGACACTCGGGTTTTGAGGTGGAGCATTCTGGGGGGATCCCAGGGAACTCCCGTACCGGTGTCGGCATATGTTTATATTTTGGTCATGTAACATACGCGTGTGTCCCAGCGCAGATGTCGTACGGTATACATTCTGTCGTGCGAGAGGTGGAGGGGGTCATGTTTGACCAAGAACATGGTGTACAAGAAACACCGTGTATAATGTCAGAACACCGAAGCGTCGAAATTCTCAAACCTTGGACACGCAGCGGTCGCGCGGCTGGGTAAGTGACGCATTATGAAGCGTCTTGATGCGCGATATACGGTTGTTGTTGTCGTCTTCGCGTAACCACCAGGAGCTTGTTTGGGGAAGCGCGATACCTATAATTGGGTTTTTGGGTCTTGCGAAGGCGGTTTTGGGCCCCCCTTTTTTCACAAGCAGAAGCGTCTGTTGAACCCGAAAGGGACGTCCGAGCAAGGTGCCTGCTGTTTTTAGTTTGATTCCGCTCGTTCGCACCCCTCGGGTACCACTTGCCGCACCGCCTTGTAGCAGAGTTTCAGTTTGGACTAGGGGCCAGAGCCGCGAGAGTGAGAGCTATTTTTCTGTTCTTGCGAATCGGTCACCTTCGATGTCCTTTTCTCCGTCCCCCTCGATGTCCAACTGGATCGATCCTCGAAAATTCTGGGGTCCACGCCCGGCGCGGAAACAAATGTGTGCGGATCTCGCAAGAGAGAGAGGTTCACATATTAAGGATCGGCGAGGCCAGGATCATGTTTGTCGTTTGCTGTTGCGCGCGCGAGCATGCCATATATTGCGTCGTTTACCCGCAAAGCGGCACCGTCCCGACAATGGCATTTCCGAATTGATCGTTGGTTGTTTGCGAAGTTGGTGTTCTGTTTGGCGCGTTGGCCATTGTTGGCGGCGTTCACGGGCGCGCGCCGGTTTTCACGACAACACATACGCGCTCGTAGGATTTGGTTTGTTCATTGTTCATGTTTTGGGGTGTGGTTTGCTCCACAAGTGTTGTAGTGCATTTCGGGTTCAGGGTGTCTTCGCGGAGCTATCATATCCCACCCACCCCCAGGAGGTAGGGAGGGAGGGATGGGTGCGCGCTGCCTCACCCTATCCACCCAGAGTCCTTACTCTTCGAGTTTAGGGGTCCACCCTCTCGCTCGCCCCTGTCTAGGGCCTGGCATCGCTCAGACGTGTGCAAATTTTCCTTCGGCGAGGACCATCGAGGAGCATCCTTGATCATTTGGCCAAAAAAAAACACGCACGAAACCGAAACAAACACAGGGAATGGATGTCCGAGCGATGGCCAGAGGGGGGCAGAATGCACGCGTTGTAGCCCTGCAGTTGAAGGTTGCGGCAGAGGCCATTCGCAGAGATTTCCGCGGGGACAGCCGTGGGCGCATGTTGCGCACGATCGCTCGCGCGATTGCTCCGCGAGGCGAGATCGGCGCTTCCAAGCCCGTGCGGGTGCTTCCATATGGGCACAAGGATCACAAAGTGGACTGCAGGGTGGCTCCAGACAGGTAGAATCGGCTCCACGGGTGGCATCTTGGGAACATGAAGATAGTTGTGGACATGCAGAATCAGCCTCCAGAATGGCGTTCTGGGAGCGCTGGCTCCATTGGGGAATGCGCACGCTGGCTGCGATCCCCCCCTCATCAAGGTTGTTGTTTGGGGGGATCGCGGCCTTGGTCGCGCGCGTTCCGAACTTGCATTCCCGCCACGACCCACTCAAAGTACGTACATCTGCTCGGGGCTCAGTGTTTCTACCCCCTGTACCCCTCATTAAGGGTTCGCTCTTGAGTTACGCACGCAAGTCGAGCAGCTGAAGCTAGCATGCCGACGCGGCCGTGGCAATGCGCAACTGTTGTAAGCACGCATGCAGCGCGCGTGGCGCAGGTGCGGCAGCTCGCCTCGTCGAACGGGCCATGGCGCATGCGCAGAGCTCTCGGCGCAAGCGCATGAGCTCTGTTCCCGTAGCTATCGGGAGCCTTGAAGTGCGCAAGGTTGCCATAGTTTCTTCTCGTGATGGTCCTGATTGGGTAGTTACCCC